TCTGGCTCTCTTCCACAGTCTTTGTCCCGTCTTCCTCCCTGAACCCCACCAGGCAGCAGCTGCGAGCTGAGGCTCATGTGTGGGTTCGCTCCAGGTACTTTGGCTTCCTCTCAAATGGAAGTAGTGGGGTTGGGTTAATGAACGGTGTGAGTGCGAATGGTTGTCGGTCTCTGTGTGTCAGCCTGTCCAGGATGTCCCCCAGCTCCTCCCGGGCCCCCCTCTTGTCCGATGGTAGCTGGGACAGACTCCAGCGAGCGTTTCTGAGAGCTCGAAGCGAAGCTGTTAAATCTGTGGATCCTGCAGCTTACAGGAAGGAAGAACCCGTCACAGGGATCAGAGAAGCGAAGAGGCTGAAACTTCATGTGTAACAAGGATCCACAGTGTCTGTGCAGGGAACTGTGAACTGAACAACTACGGTTTGAGGTTACAACACCACCCAGGCACAAACAGCTCCACTGCCACCGGGCGGGGGTCTCCAACAGCTGAGGTGAGAAAGGCGAGGATCAACCCACGCAGGCAGCAGGGCCGGACAACATCTGTGGGCATGTTTTATTGAACTGCACAGAGCAAAGAAATATGTTTTTGCAGACATTCTTCACACATCACTCGGCCAGTTTGCCTCTAGAGCGCCATCATAACTCACGTCCCAAAGAAAACAAACCAGCTTACATGACTTCAGGCCCACGGCCATCACACCGGGAGTGAGTAAAAGTTTGGAGAGGCTGATTTTGAAGCACACCAAGAACCGTCTCTGGGTAACCTGGATCCCCTCTGTCTCTCTAAATCTTTTCTTCATTATTCGCTTGCTTGTTACGCACGAGTCTGCCGTTGTTTACAGGCTGTCGGCCTGTTTACTTACTTCCAAAAACAAAACCTCTGCCGTTCAATACTGAACAAATTTAAACTTTTTAAAATTATGCAAAAGTGCAAAACGCTGTGTCTGTAATCAAACCTCTGTAGCTCTGCTTCACGTCAGCAGCATCAGGTCATGTTCATGTGCTGATTCATGGTTTTCTTCTGTTTTTGTTCTGCTGCAGAATATTTTAAGGTTATCTGCTGTAAAATCCAGGCCAGGAAAGTCGCCCTCATGTTTATCTTCAGTGACTTTGACACAAAGGCCTCTGCTGTGATGCTCACACGTTTTATAAAGTCTCACAGTGTCAGCTTTCTTTTTATAGATATAAAAACATGGAAATGTTCTGATATGTGAACAGAATTATAATATTTTTGATAGAGGCAAAATCGAATCGATTCTAGAAATCCAGGGAGTGGGGAGGGAAGTCAGACGGCGAGGCTAACCGACCACTTTGGATTCCGAGGTATCTCATTGGACGAGCTGCTCAAGCAGCAGCTGCGATGCAATGCCTCTCCCAGAGGTGGGAGGGCAAGTGATGAGTCACGGGGAGCTAGGACCACAGGTCAGAGCCAGCATCACTCCTGATCCCTGAGCCTGCTTCAGTCACCTGTGTCTCTGCCGTCTCTGAGCTGAGGAGGCAGCTGATTGGTCAGCAGGACGTCCGAGGCTTTGTTGTGGATGGATTCCCCCGAGATGTCCATCAGCCTATGAGCTTCCAGGAGCAGGTACAGACCAATCAGAAAGCAGGACAACAGTGAAGATGGCTGCCAGAGAAACTGGTGTTCTTACTGCACCGGAGCCATCTTCCTCTTCCTCGACTCGACCAAAACTTTAAAGTCAAACCATTAAAGTTTAATTTCAGTGATTCTATCTTCAGGTGAGCTCAAGAAATAAAGGTTAAGACTGATGCTGC